TGGCCATTAAGTCGTGCTGGCCCCGGACATCTCTTTGGAAAATGGGGGCCGCTGGCACTTGTAGTTCTGGAGCTGGAACCAGTCTCCTATGACATCAGATAGGTCGATTTTTCCCTTCCCTTCCCCTCCCTCTGCCTGCCACCACACACAGTGATTCCAATCCTGATTTGCCACCCCCAACATCCTCACTCAGTTCTAGAACGAGTCATGACAAACGGCTGTTGTGTTCCCTGTTCCAACGGCCTTGAAGGATGTGGTTAGCTGTTCCATGAGCAGGGAGCCTGTCAGACCTGTGAATCATCCCTAGATCACTTGCCTCCTCAGAGAAAGAGAAGAAATTATTCTTGGGGGGAGGGGTGTGTGTGTGTGTGTGTGTGTGTGTGTGTGTGTGTGTGTCTCATGCGTGTGAGACAGACAGAGAGACAGAGAGAGAGAGATCATGGGCACTCAGCAAGGGAGCTAACCCATGTATGGCACTGATCTTAGGGTTAGGATCCTCTCACCTGCCTTCACCTGGAGCACCTCTATTCCCCCAACTCACATTTGTTCCCTTCTCCTCCCCAACCTACCAGGGAGCCATCATCAGACCACTCCTAGAAGGCCTCCAGGTCTGAACAGCTTTTCTCTGTTTATCTGTGTCTTTTGTATGCTGGGTGTCTTCCACGGGACACGTAGGGCAACTTCCCCTTACACTATGACCTGGGCCTTCCCTTTTGCCTCAGTCTTTCCTTCTCTCTCAGCTTCACCTATCAGGTCCTACATGGACTCCAGTGTACTGGTGTTTAGAAAAGCCAGACAGAAATGAGTAGAGATTGGGGGCCCATAGTGGGGGCCAGAAAGTAAGTAGAAGCCTTACCCAAAATAATCTCTGGCAAATTTCTCAAAAGACCTGAGAGGTTACAGATGAGGATTTGCTCCACTGCTCCTGCTTCATGGTGACCACTCCTCATCAGCTCAATCTCTGTGGCACATGGTGACAGTCACACATGATAAGGCAGTTCTCAAACACCACTTTCAGGGCTCTCTGCTGTCATGCAGATCTGAGCCTGGTCCCCCCAACAGGACACCAGTTGATGAGAAGCACCCCATCTTATATTCATACCCTCCTCTAGAGGTCAGCTGACCTGAGTTTACCCAGATCTGCCTTGTTACAGTAACATGGAGACCCTGAGCAACCTCTAACCTCTCCAAGTCTTAACTCAGCCCTCTGTATAAAGGAATCAGAGAACCTAGCCCATCTTAGCGTGCGTTCCGTCAACGGTAGGAATGCCATGAAATCGTGCACATTAAGCATTTGGCACCATCGATGCAAACTTCTAACACTGTCTATTACTTGCATTTCCTAAAAAGTCCTGAGAGGATCAGAACATTCATTACTGGTATTTGTCTGAAATAAACAATCAGGAAAGGAAATGACTTTGAAAGCACCACACCTCCCAAATTCAAACAAATAATTTCTTTTTTTTTTTTAAGATTTATCTATCCATTTATACAAGAACCGGGGTACAGGCCAGATCTGCGGAAGGGTGAGAGGATTCACCAGAGACAGAGCAGGGAACAGAACAGGCAGACTGATGAAATACACTGCTGAGGGGAGCAGCAGGTGCGACAGGAGAGGTCTGCGGGCCGGCCAGGATCGAACAGGTGCTGCAGAGGCTGCAGACAGCTTCACAGCGCTGAGCTCAACCGCCTGTGCCACCAGCGGAGGCCCTAAACAAATAATTTCTTGTTTGTGTTAGATAAGCAAGCTTCTCTCCATCATTGACTTGACATATACCTGCACGTGCATGTGGGCGCAAAGAATTATGGGAACCTGAACTCACATCCTTATGAAAAACTTACAAATGACAATATCTGCAGTTTGCATCCAGCATCATCAAGAAGTGGTCTGAGGCTGAAGTCTGTTTACCTGAGGCCTCCCAAGTAGCAGCTCATCAAACTCAAGAGAGGAGCCCAATTCCATGCTAGGTATCCTGGCCAAAGCAGCAGCTGCCCACCCTCCTCTGGAAGGAAGCCAAAGGCTGACAATATCATCCAAAGGATGGAGTCCATTTACCTGTCTTTTATAAACAGACAAAAAACACAAAACACCCCTCGGTGTCTAGGCAGCTCCCCTTGCCAGGGGGATGAGCCCGCCCTTTAGTGGATAGCCCGAGAGAACCTTGGCAGTGTGGTCCTGATATGCTGGAAGCCAGAAAAGCCCCTCATGCTTGGCCCCCAAGCCTCTCATCAGCTAGCTCCAGCTAACATGCACATCCCATAAAACCTCTCTGCTCTGCAATTTGCCAAACCACAGACTCAGAATTCACCACTAGTGGAGGAGAGGCGGGAAAGAGGCATGTTTCTCCAGTGCAGAGGGCTTCCAGAACATATGGGACTTGGGTGCAGCATGTCCTGCCAGCTACCCACACCAGAAAGCCTTTCCCAGAACACTTGACCTTCTACTTTGTGGTGTCCACTGTGCAAGGGCCAAGAGAGGAGGAGAGCCTCAGCCCAGAGACATAGCCTCCCCCCAGCCTGCTCTTCCTGTCCTGTTGACCCCACCGCACACATTGTACTATCAGACACCTTCCTCCCTGTTATGCATTAATGGTACAAATGTGTAAGAACCTCTTGCTACCAGCAGATATTTATTCTCATAGTAAATCCCAGCCAGACTTAGGACACACTTGGATGAACAAGTCCTACACCATGGGATCTAGGTCAGTTAGACCCAGGTGCCTGTGACTAGGTGTTTTGGAGTGACTTTACCCCATCTGGTTCTCAGCTTCATCTGTAAAATGGCGGGGGGGCAGAGCTGATGAGTCCTCAGGTCCCTGCCAGCTCCATGATTCCACAGCACGGAACACTTTCTCCTTTGGCTGTTTTCCATAACCTCGGATCAGAGCTCTGTATGGGAGTGACAGCACTCCTGCCTCCAAACATGTCAGTTCTTACATGGGAAGTGGAGATGTCAGGGATACATTCTGTCCGTAAAAAGGGAGGAAATGATCATTTCAAGGATATTAGGCCTCCTTTTGTACTTGTCACAAAGAATAAGTTATTATCAATCTTAAAACCCCAAACTTTCCTCTTCTTTGCCAGACCATTAATAGCTGCTTTTCGAAAGTGCTCTTAGTCAGGCTCCGACCCACAATCTACTATTTAATGAGTGCTTGTTAGGTGCCAGGAACTGGGTTAAGTGTTTTGCATGGATGAGCTCATTTAATTCTCCAGACAACCCTATGAAGAAGGTACTATTATTGCCCTCACTTTGAAAATGAGGAAACTGAGGTCCACAAAGTTTACATAGCCAGTTAGCGACTGAGCCAGGCTTCCAACAAGGCTACTCAGAGCTCCGCCTCTCAACACTGCCTATGGTAGGTCCCGGCTGCTTATTCAATACTCCAGGCTGACAGTATCCTACGTCCGTAACAGTGGACATCACTGGTCAGGCTCTAAGATTTGAAGTTTCATTTAAAATCCAGAGCCAGAAAAACACCTGCCTGGATCTTAGAGCAGAGAGTGCCATCTGTTGAAAGCAGCGCCAACTTTGACTGAGGACCAGAAAAGAAAACCCCTAAAACTTGGTCTGCAACAACGGAGAAAGGAGTTTAGGAGAGTTGACTTGATAATAAGCACTGTGAAGTGCAAAGGGACAAACCTGGGTCCTGGAGCAGAGTGACCAAAGTCCTTCAAAATGAGCTCTCCCAAAAGGCAAAGGAAAATATTTGCGGAGCCAGATAACACAAAAGGAAGTGCACTCTGAATGCTCCCTTGGGCACCCACCTCTACCCCAGATCCGGTAGGTACCAGCCTCCACCACTTCTCTCCGGCCCAATCTGAGCCCTCGCCTACTGCCCCACTATAAAGAAACCCCCAGTTCAGAGCTATTGGTGATAAAGGCAGATAATGTAGCCTAAGGCCGACATGAAGACCAGCCCGCCCTCTTCCAGCAGAGAAATAAAAGGCACTTCAGGGATCAATATGCAGTGCGAGGGCAGCAAACAACAGCCTGTTTTAATTGTTAAAATTAATGCTCTGAGCATTCTAACTGCTCCTTTAAGTGCCTAATTTGCAAAAATGAGGTAGCCCTGCTGTCCCAAAGTCCTCCAGCGTTGGATGCCCAGCTGTCTTTTCTATCTCAAGTCCAGGCGCAGAGCCCCTCAGACAGGCGTGCCCGGGCGTCAAGGACACTGTGTTTACTTCCTCAGGTGCTAAGGACGGGACGACAGGAGCGGCTGAGATGAAAGGGGGACGTGTCACAAAGACCCCGGGGCTCGCTCAGTCACCCTTAGCCCCTGCTCATTAAGTTTGGGGAGGGGGGGAGGGGCGGGCTGCCGTTCCTCGGAGACCACAGCAAACATTTGCCTCCGCGTGTCTGGAGATGGAGCATCACTTAAGAGGAAATGAACCCGGCTAAGGGTCACGTCCAGAGGAGGGATGAAAGGAAAAGCCACAATTCTCCTCACATCAACGGACACAATGACTCTAAGAAGGAAATCAAAGCTCAGGGCTGAGGGTGGAGGCGGGGCAGGGGCGCGGCGGCTTCCCTCAGCCCCCAGCCCCAGGCCGCGGGGCGCAGAGACCGCAGCCGACGCGGGAGGGGGCGCGGGCTCCCCCCGCGCGCGCCTGCGCCCGCCCCAGGGTCTGAGCGCGCGTGAGCGACCCGGGCCCCCAGGGCAGGCCGGGGAGACGGACTTTCCCCGCGGAGCCGCTCGGTGAGGGCTTGGGGAACGCTCCCCCGCGCTCCCCCGCCATCCATCAAGGCTCAGCGGACAGATGACTTCACCGCCGTTACAGACAAGGGCAGCCACTTGCCAATTCCAAAGCCAAAAAAAGAAAACGAGGAAGGGAAGGGGCAGTGGGGCAAGGGCAGAAGCGGCTTCCCCGGGGCTCGCGGCCCGGCGCAGGAGCTCCGCGGGCGCGCGCGGCCTGAGGGCGCGCAGCTCGGGCACCGGCGCGCGGGGCTGCGGCGCCCACCCCGGCCCTGGCCGCGGGGGTCGGCGGCGCGCACTCACGTAGTGCTTGGAGGGGTTCCTCCGCTTCTCCACGTCCACCACGGCGGCGTCCTGCACGCAGTAGGCGAGCATCTTCCCACAAAGCGAGTGGCGCCCCCCGGCGGCGTCACCTTCTCATCCCGGCCCGGCTCCCGCGGCTCCTCCGGCTCCCGCTGCCCGGGGCCGCCCGCCTCTCGCGTCCCGCGCGCCGCCGCCGCTCCCCGGCGCCCGCAGGCTCGGCCCGGGCGGGGTCAGCCCCCCGGCGACGCGGGCTCCGTGCGCCCCGGGCGGCTCCGGGTGGGCCTGCCGCGCGCCCCTGCCCGCGCCCGCGCCGCCGCTCTCCGGCTCGCCCGCTCTCTCCGCCGCCCGGCGGGTCCGGCGGGAACTGGCAGCAGGGGAGGGGCGGGGGTGTGTCCCGCGGGCGCGGGGACGGGGCGGGGGCCCCGGAGCCTGCTGTCAGCGCGCCGGGGAGGGGCGGGCGGTGCCCCTTCGCCGCGCTCGGGCTCCGGGGGGCTCGGCGCTGGCTGAAGCTGGGGCGCAGGAGGCGGAGGCAGGGCCGGGCCGGCTGGGAAGGGAAGGGAAGGAAGGGAAGGGAAGGGAAGGGAAGAGAAGGGAAGGGAAGGGAAGGGAAGGGAAGGGAAGAGAAGGGAAGGGAGGAGAGAGAGGGGACGCGCGCGGGGAGGGGCTCCGGGCCCGGGGGAGGGGCTCGGGGCCGCGGGGAGGGGGCTGCAGCCCCGCCGGAGAGGAGAGGGCGGGCCGCGCGCCCCGCCGAGCGGAGAGCGCAGCCCGCGGCCTGGCGCGGCGCTGGGCTTGTTCGCTGGGCGCTGAAACTCAGGGTGGCTTTGAAGGGAGGGGGGTCCCGAAGCGCCCCTTTTCTGGCTTTCGGTCTTGGAGAGGTTTTGCCCTCATCTTTCCGTCCACCTCCCACTCCCATCCCCCGAGCTCTTTAATGAAAAGTAGTTTATTACCCTGCTGTAACTGCCCAGCGCCACCCTCAGCCCCCCACCCCTCAGGAGGAGGCTGAAGAATGGGGAGGGGCCAGTATTAAATCCTTGCAGCCAGAGCCCCTTTAGATAAACCACCTGCCCCCCTGCGGGTCACAAAGGGTGAATTCTCCCCGGAAATGATATTGATCCACTGCCTGAGTCGTCCAGCCATCGATCTGGGCCTGTGTAACTAACCTGTGACATCATCTACCAGTAGGGGTACAAGACTGCACAACACCAGGGCTCCCCTAGGGCCCTCCCGAGGTGGGGAGGAGAGAAGGGCGCACACAATGGTGGGAAAATCCTTTTTGCGGGGGGCGGGCAAGAAGCTCATCATTGGCCCCAGTTTTGACTTTCTCAACACCCATCCCTCTGGTCTGGAAAACCGACTTTGGAAGCCACTTGTCCCGCCCTGGACATAGTACACAATCACTGGTTAATTGGACTTTGCTCCTCTTTCTCCCCCACCCTCGCTGTATTTCAACATTTTTTTCCATTCTAGTTTCAAATATTTAAAGAGGTCGTGTTTTTGCAACTAATTCGATTGTTTCACGATTACAGTAAAGCTTTGTGACATCCGAAATGGGGACCAAACAATTTTATGAATTTGTGGTAGCAACATCCTTTTCTGCTTGGTCAGAACCCATGTGCCAATCTAAGACTTTGCACACATTTTCTTGGTACAGAGTACCCCACTATCGCTGCAGTCTTCTTGGAGAAGGATGCTAGAACATGAGCCGATACCACTCTCTAAATATTTGACCTTGAACAAATCACTTAATGCCACAGGTATTAGTCACCTTAATGTTCTCATTTGTAAAATGTGGGTGCTTAACTATTGATAGATGGTCTTATAGGATCCCTTCCCACATACACTCCAAATTCTTAGCTATGGTTACGCTTATGGAGGCAATTTTGAGTTCTTTGTTTTTATAATTAGCATGTATGGGTTTTGACATTAAAAAAGTAAACAAATTTTCTTCTCTGAAATTCTAGAACTTTAAGGATTGTGCACCTATTCTGAGCTCATTTACAAGGCATTAAGAGACTGACAAGAGTCAGCCAATCAATGTTTGTGAAAATTGAATCCAATTGACAGTTGTGCCTCCCTTCTCTCAAAACGTAGGTAGTCCACTTGAGAATTGAGGATACCTTTAAATGGAGACCAGGCATGATCAAGGAGGGCTCCGTCAAAGAGGCTGTCCCTGTGATGGGCCCTGGAGACTGGGCAGAGTTTGGAGCATCTTGGAATATACTCTGCCTCCTCTGAACTCTTCTGGTCAATGGCACTTGCCCTGAACTGCTTTGACGTGCAGTTTTATTCATAACACACTTCATTTCTTCTGAAAGCACCATGTGCACAGGACCTGGCTCTTAGTGACCTAATATTCTCTGCACGCCTCATAGTCAAGCACAGTATCTTATACACAGTAGTCAAGACCCTGTTGAAAGAATGATCAATGGGAGGAGGAAAGGGGGAGTGAGAAGTTACAAGTGTCATCTGAAGCCTAAATCTGCTGGCAAAAGGCGAGGTAGAGACCATCATCTTGGAGGGAAGGATCAGGAAAGGGGACGAAGCACTGAGAAAGAAATTAGAAGGGTGTGGGATCTTGACCATGGGCACAGGGCTTCTCTGCAGGAAATGTTAAAATCCAACATGGATGCAGGAGCAGGCTTCCGGGAAAAGGTGATCTGGCCTTATGCTCAGTGAGGGGAAAAGGAGGAGGAAGGCATCACCTCCCTGAGCCAGGCCTGTTCCCCTGGAGGGTAGGAGGTAGATCTGGGATAGGCCCTCGGCACTGAATTCCCCTCAAAGGAAAGGCTGTGTGTGGGAATCAGGGAGGTTCCTGATGAATCAAGACAGGCTGTGAGCTCACAGCAAAAGGACTCATAACAGCACTCGGCCCCTCTTCCTCTCTGGACCACAAGGCATTCTGGGGGAGGCGCTCTAATGAAGCCTGGGAAGCTCCTGGGTGAGGGGGAGCTGGTACTCAGCTGTTGGAGGGGAAGGAAAGGGGTGGGTTGATAGGCCCTGGGTTTCCTTGAGAGTCAGAGAAGTTCCGCACTCCTCCTTTTTCTGGGTTAGGACCCACCCTGAACGCGACCATCAGAAAGGAGATCTAGAGGTGAGGGGGAAGGTGCCATGCTCTCCTCAACCCCGTCCTGGTGATTCAGTGCTTGCCAACAGGCATTGGTCATATTCAGCCTAAGAAACCCAGAATACCTGACATCTCTTAAATTCAGGGTCTTGAAGCACAGTTTGAACCCTCCCATTTTCCCCCTCTGCTCCTGAATTATCTCAGGAGGAAGCAATTGAGAACCAGCCCCCCATCCCAACCCCATGGACCACGATGGGGAGGTGTTATTTATCCTGTGGGAGATCTCCTTTCTCTCCTGGGACTGTACAGCCAAGAGGCTTTAAGTATAAAATAGTATAGACTCTCCCTTCTTCCCAGGGGACGTTTCAACCTCATGCATATTTCTTTCCCAACCCAGCTTTCAGCATTCCTTTCTAGTCAATACACTTTTACTGGCTGGCACACCCCTGACATGACTGGGACTCACCGAAGGCTCCTTGGAGACAGGACTCTCTCTGATTCTCTTAATACCCCCACATCCCACATGCCTGGGACAGAGGAGTTGCATTGGGTGCTCTGAGTTGAAAACAGCTGCTCAGAGAACAGGATTAAAGAAACCCCCATTTTGCCACCCCTACCTACAAATTGGGAATGACTTCAGTCCAAGGACACTGAGTTCAAATGAGAAAATACAATTGTAAAAAATACCAAGATAAATGTTTAGGGCAAATAAGGGAAAGAAGACCCACAATAAAGATGCAAACTAACTAATACCTGAAAATCTGATTTTGCAGAAACAGATCATTATAGGATGCTTAGAACCAAAGAACTTTCTAACTGGAATGGACCACAAAGGTTATTTATATCTCTAATTTCATAGAGAAATAGACCGAGGCAGAGAGAAACTAAGCAAGGTGCCTGACACCATGCAGCTAAGGTAGTCCCAGACTAGCTCTTTCTCCTCTATGCTCACGAGCCTACTTATAGGCAAGAAGAATTCATTTACAGGGCCTCCCCTGTGGCGCAGCGGTTGAGCGCTGGGTTGCGAAGCTGCCCGCGGCCTCTGCAGCGCCGGTTCCATCCCCGGCTGCTCCCCAGCCACGCCACCGGAGGAGGGTCCCACATGGCGCACATCCTTCACATGTCCCTCTAATCTCGGAGACCCTCCATCTGATTTTTCAGTAACACATTAAGCATCACATGATACCTGAGCTGGCCCCACCCCTCTGTACAAGCAGGTCACTCCTCAAGGAAGAGATGTGTCCCCACAGTGTTCTGGCACTCCCAGTTCCTATCAGCTCTCCAGGACCACGCCAAAGAAGGCAACATGCAGGATGGCACTGAAAACACTTAGGTGCTAGACAAAGGCGCAGTATAATGCTCTTCCTCCTTGAAAAGTTTATGGCAATGACTAATCGTTCCTTGGTCACTACTCATTTGTCACCCTCTGACTACTCAGCTATTGTGTTGTGCCCCTTTCCATCTTTGTTCCTGAACCTTGCTGTGCTTAGGTTGTGCTTTCTGAACTATAAGAAGCCTGTGAGGGTCCTGAGAACAGTGAACTTAGACCTTTTCCCCCTCACCCGACCACCACCTGCCATCTGCCAATCCCCTCCCCTGGGGCATCCAGCACAGGGTTTTATACCTGCCAGGCATTCAATAAAAGATTGTCTTTTCAAATGTTTGGGTTTGAACAGTTAATGTGTCAATGTTGCTAATGGAAGTGGTACCTAAGAGCAGCAGGTCAGAGTTGCAGAGCAGAACTCATCCATCATTTGTTCTAGTCCTGGCTCTGCAACACAGACTTGTGACCTTGACATTATCTCCCATCTCAGGGAGTCTAGTGATCTTTCTGGTCCCTTCCATGCCTGGGATGATACTATAAATTGAGGTCAGTTCTGCTATTACCCAGAGATCTGCAAATTTGAGTGAAATTTGGGGCCACCTCCTGGCCAAAGTGGTGTTAGCATCTTTAACTCCAGCCTCTGCTAAAGTTGCATCCCTTTTAGTCCCTGGCTGACCTCTGAAAGGGACAAGAAGGGCCTGACATGAGCAACCTGCCAATTTACAGACTACAAACAGCCCAGAATGCTCATGCTTCTCTCCCTCT